AAGGGTTTAAGTTTCTAACATAGTGTTACCTATACTGAGAAATAGACTGAAAGACTTGTGCTAAAAGACTGGTTTGGTACATGGAGTTGTCTGTACCGGGTAATGGAGTGAAAGATCTGTGCTGAAGGGTTTAAGTTTCTAACATAGTGTTACCTATACTGGGAAATAGACTGAAAGACTTGTGCTAAAAGACTGGTTTGGTACATGGAGTTGTCTGTACCGGGTAATGGAGTGAAAGATCTGTGCTGAAGGGGCAGCACAGATCTTTCACTCCATTACCCGGTACAGACAACTCCATGTACCAAACCAGTCTTTTAGCACAAGTCTTTCAGTCTATTTCCCAGTATAGGTAACACTATGTTAGAAACTTAAAAAAGGCTAGGATTGGAGACATGGTGTTTCCTGTACTGGGCAACAGAGTGAAAGATCTGTACTGAAGGGTAAGGTTTGAAGGGGTGGAATTACCTATAAGCTTTATACTTTCTGAATTCGACTGTGACTATCTTTGTCTTTAGTAAATGGCATGTAATTGAAAGCAGTACCTTATTTTAATAATATTGTAAGTAAGTTAAACATCATGAGCAAAAATAGCCCAAGTTAACTAAGGCAAGAACCAGTTCTCTACCCAGTACATATCCTACACAGAATACGACCAATATCACGTAATGATAAATCCCTATTTTAAATATAAATAAAACAATTATTGTTGTTTGCGGATAAGAATACTTATGAATTTTTACAGAGTAGAGTCCTTTGAAACTCCACTTACAATATCTGTAATTTAGGCTTGTTGCTACTTTGATTTGATTGAAGACCTTTGAGTTAGTTGATCTCTAGTTAAACGATTACCCTTAGAAGTATTCGTACTCAGTATGTAAGTCACATGACTAATTTAGTTCCAACTTTAAATAACTTGTTGTTGTTGTTTGTTATTAAGCACAATGCTACACAAAGGGTTATCTGTGCACTGCCCACCACGGGTATCGAAACCCGGTTTCTAGCACTATAAGTCTGCGGACATACCGCTGTGCCACTGGTTGGAGGTCAAATAAATATATATAGCATGTCTTGGGAGATTGAATGATTTTTTTTTTTATTTGTACATAAACTCATAATTCATCTTATGACAACAATTATGTCGACTTAATCAGCAATGTTACACGGATATATTCTAAGGAAAGATAATACCCTTTATTCTAGCTTTGATGTTAGTTTTACTGTAAGTTTTGTGAAATATAGGAAAGGCACGTTTACGTCTGATTAAGTATGTAATATTAGCTTTCTAAAAAGCTGTAAGTTTTTGTGAAATATAGGAAAGGCACGTTTACGTCTGATTAAGTATGTAATATTAGCTTTCTAAAAATGATTATTGGCCTTGTTAATTTTTGAAATTATGGTATAATCGAAAAATAAGATTACCAATGAAGGTCGTTTGGCGAAACATTGATCACGTAATTATTTCCCTCTTATTTTGATAATTAATCTTTATTTTCTTTTTCTTAAAATGTTTTAAGCAGTTTCTTTATACTTTTTTTTTCTACGTGTTCAAGCTAGATTTTGTTCTTAGTTACTTCTGTTACTATTAGAATTTTTTTATATCGTACAAACCCACTTTCCCCCACTGGCTCAGCGGTAAGTTTGAAGTCTTATAACAGACAGACACTTTGTCTTTAAGAAGCTATGTTGTTACAATTAGGGGTTGTCTGTAAGAAGTTATGTTGTTACAGTACAGACACTTTGTTTGTTTGTTACAGCGTAGACAAACAATCTGTCTTTAGGAAGCGCTGTCATTACAGTGCAAACTCGAAGTCTGTAAGAAATTATGTTCAGAAACCAATGTTTGACAAGACTTGGAAATTTTCAGGAAGTAAATTTCTAAGGAAATATAAAACGTTGAAAATAATCTTATACTTTGAATTACAAGTTTTCATCGGAACAGAATAGCTAG